TATTGCACTGATATCGAACGAATTAATTTTCTGAAACTGATTTGTAATTTTGATGTTTAAGTGTACACTATTCCTAAATTTTTCACTATTGCATGTACCTTGTCAGAGTATTGTTGTACACAATATTAGATCTATAAGGTGACGGAAACAGGGTCAATATATATGAAATACAGTTCACATTCTCAAAGCTATCACGTACCTATCACATACGGTAAACCTAGAAATTCAAGGGTATGATCACCATACATGTAGTACACACACTCTTTGTTCTCTTACCTATACAGTCACACATACTGACATTTAAGGAATATAGATAAAATAGCGAGGTAAAAATTGTACATACACAGAAGCTTATCTGATTACATTTCACATCTGAAAAATAATGATTAGCCATAATTGCTGTTTATTGCCATTTTATTAACAACACGGATGTCACGAGAAAAATAAAACACTAAAACTAAAACAGAGAGTTAGTTTGTGGTTGTCTTTATCTCAGACTGTTAGCTTGTCTGCATTCTTTTGACTGTCTGTCCCTCTGTCTCTGAATGTTTGTGTATCTGTCGCTTTATCGTTGACTGTCTGTTTTTGTTTCTGTCTCAGACAATCTTTCCTTATCTGTTTCTATATCTGACAGTCCGTCTAAAATTAATCTGTTTTTCTTTGTGTCTGCCTCCCTATCATTGTCTGACTCTGACAGTTTGTGTCTGTCTGTATGTCTCTCTTTCTGTTTTATCATACACCCTCCAACTTCATATTGCACAAAGAAATTTCCTCACGAAATCCTTCTTCATCAATCACCAATTTTCATTTTTCAGAAAATTACCTGCATGCTGCATTTTAATTCATTCGAATATATGTCCGGTTCAGAATACACACTTACTTGACGCTGTTCTAAAATCGTAGGATATAAGAACATTACGGAAATTATTTAATGATAGTGCTGCTGCACCGTCCAATCCAGATTTTAACTTTTCGTTTGATCTCTTTGGATTTTCCTAAGTATGTGTCTCACTTTATTGCGTTTAAGGCCATATCCTTCCCTTTTATTCTGCTATGGTTTAGATGAAATGTTTACTTCCGGGTAAGTACTTTTCCGCAGCCTGAAATATGTTTTAGAATAACATTTTAGGGTTTCTAGTGTAATACAAAAGTGCAAATACCGACTCAACAGAAAATATCGACATGTTAACAGAATTTGGATTCAAACTCAAATTCTATTGAATTACGGCGCAATGCGAACAAAGGGAAGATTTACACGAAGAATCCTGAAAAAAGGTTTGTAAAATTGATCAATTGGAACATTAACGCTATAAATGAGATCTCAGAATTGCTATGAGCTAGATGCACACATTCTACATCTCAAAATTGAATTCTATTTGGAAAATATCGTTCCAAAATTAAGGTACATGCGTTTGGAATTTGTTCCTACAATCGAAGAATAACAATTATCTTGATAAATAACTACCTATCGGTTGTGTTTATTATTAAATACATTTTTCGCAATACAGGTTGAATGGGCAAACTTCTCCTGTAGCAATAGCGTTACACATGATAATACCTCTCCAAGATTTAAGCATGTTGTATCCTTTGAAAAAATGTTGAATTATGCTTGTCCTCAATGTGCGATGTACCACGATCAAACGTTCTGGATCTCCCTATTGATCCTTCTATACATAGCTCTCTCCAATATCAAGTCTGTCCTTCCAGATTTGCTATATCTGTATGTGTTTTTATAAACTACATGTGTGTTGCCCGTTGTAAATTGTGACTCACGTCCTTATTATATCAAACATTTGACAAGTACATTTGTATGAATTTATATCCAACATATTTCGTCCTTTCTTTGTACCAAATGTATTCCTGCAATCCTATGATGTAACCTGAGGAAAACAAAATTAGATCTGGTGTTGTGTAGCTCTTCTAGTAAACTAAGGTAACAAAACACTCTACATTCCTTTAAGATGTAATGTCTGTACATTACACTGATGGCTCAGTATAAGTTTTAGCAACATGCATGTAGCTGTCCTCGGTTAAATTTAGTGCTATTTCTATTTTAGGAGATTTTTTCGACTACATTACTCCACCCCCTTCACCTTTTGCCAGTGATATAACACCAAGAAATATTACTTTCTCACAGACGTTCATAGTCTTGTTAGGACATGCACATGGAAATATATTATTTAATTTTGTGGTAAATGTACCTTCAAATCTGATTTTGACAATTATTTTGATTAATTTGGATCTGCCTTAGTCGCCCTCCAGGATTCAACGATTTAGGCATTATTCATTTATACAATCTGTGTCATACACTAGTGTTACATCATTAAGTTACATCCAACAAAACAAAATGCTAAGAACAACATTACAGAAATATATAATATTTTATTAAATAAATATATATTTGAACACCACAGTCACGCCATATAATTACCTTGTTAAAAACAATAACACATCAAAAATGTAAGATGTACATAAAAAATTAAAGGTCGCAGCTCACCACATTACTACTTAAAGAAACGTGCTTCAAAGCATGCATTGACTTGAAGTGAATCAATAAGAACCAGAACTAGCTATGGCATTGCAAAAATGGCAAAGTATTTAACACCAATTCACGCGATAGTTGTAGAAACGTCAGGAAAATAAATGTCACCCGTCATTGCAATTAAAACGTTATTAATTTTTTGTCTGGATGACAAACTTGTGTTCCTTTTTATTCGATCAGTATTGAAGGAAGAACTTTGTAAAGACTCCACACATCAACATCAGAGCGGAAAATCCATGTTTGATACTGCCGTTGTCGTCTGTGGATAAATGTTGAAAATTGATGATTAAAAAAAAAAAACATTGCGGAGCGATGCAACGTTTTTCCTTCGTACGTAGACTTTGAAAATTATTAAAATACATAATTAATAAGTATACCAAATTATCAAACCTTAGATCGGTATCTGGGCATTTTCACTGGTTCACTGTGTATGAACCACATACTTCATGAAAGATGAAAGATAGTGTTCATAATGGGGGATTCAAGTGGAAAATGCAAATACATTCCCTAAGGTCATCAATCTATGAATACACATTTGCATTTGGCTGAGCAAATCTTTATTGAGGTTATGAACTAATTCAACAGCAAAAGCTTTTACATTTCATCTTTCATAATCAACGTTACTTCATTGATAATCTATAAATGAAAAATGTATAATGCAATCAATTCAGGAAAAAAATCATACAGAAGAGAAACAGAAAAAATATTTCATTAGAAATAGAATCCAAAACAAAATAATTCAATTGTTTTCGAGTAGATGTCTATCGACGAATGAAACGAAGGATTTATTTTCTTTATTGTTTAGTGATGGAAAACACTGGTTGAATAAAGTTATGTATTTGAAAAAGCGGGGAATTCTGTAACGTCTATGAAATGGAGTTTGTTTTGGTCCAGGTGCTTATTTATATGGTAAATGCAATTTTGTACTTTAACCGAATATGATGAACAACAGATAATGCAGTATTAAAACTTTTAATAATACCTATCTGTCCTGGAACTGATGCTGTTTGCCCTATGGATATTAAAAAAATAAATCTTCAAGTCCAAAACCAAGATTGTAAGATTTCTTTCTATTTTGATATAGTTTCAGTTCATTAAGATAATTCACAGTTTTCCGGAGTTTCATTCATGTCATTCAAAACTATATATTAAACATAACGTTTCCAAAATGTTATCAAGATCATGTAACAGGGCTAATGTTAATATAAAAGACTTTCTTCTGATTGTAAAATACGCAAGTGGCTCATGGGCTTAAACAGTCGTTAGAGGTAACAAATATTAAATAAGTCTGACTTTATACCAATAAAAAAGGTACCAAAAAGAGCACCTTATTCGTCATTTCAGTTTCTCAACATATAAACAAATATTCAGCTTAAATGAGCCAGTGGAATTGGATAAGACGCTTAAAATGCTTCGCACCGTCTCCGAAAATGACATTTGGTCAAGATCATTTCGATTAAGGTTAAGATGGAGAAGTTGAAAATAGGTGCTCGGGAAAAACCTTGTTTCTGCAATCATCTAAATAAATGACCCTCGTGTCTGTCGTGTTGACATTTTGTGGAGACTGAAACATTAACATCTCCAACAATGATCACCTCAATGACAGCAGTAGAACTTGAAAAAGAATTCCACAATATGTTCTTATGGGAGGGCATACAATATTAATACCTAGTAAAGAAATGCACCGATAGGTTTGAACTGAATTCCTTTGCTGAAAGTTTGAGAAGTTTTAAATGGTAATTGTTTGGTGGACATCAGATCAGATGACCTTATTTAGCCACCATTGGACTATAACAGGAATGCATTATGACACATGCACGTATTTTCAGGAAAACGAAAATGACCTCTTACATTTCTATTCAGATATCAGCAAGGTCATTTTCTAAATGTTTTGAAATATTTATGTGCCTTCAAATATCGATGAAGAGATGCTTTATGTTTAATCATCTATACTTATCGAATTACATACGTAAGCATATACTGCATCTACTGCAAATTCATACAGATTGATTTGTTTATACAACACAAATGTACTTGTATTAATATATATGGATTTATGATTGAGACAGCCTTTCCCTCTGGCATATCTCACATAAAAATGTGTCCTACATCGAAATGAATCGGACCTACATGAAGGAAGTCAGAACGCTAACATAGTACAAACTTAGACACTAAAATTGTGTTTTAAAGTTGCTTAATCATTTTTTTAATCACTGTTATCATAATTTTGTTAAAAATATATAAAACTGTTACGTCCTTAAACAACATATATGCATTTGTGGGTACAAATAGTATACAATGGAAATTGCGCCCGTTTTCTATTTTCAAAATCATAAGAAAAAAATCATAGGGGTATGACCATATAAAAACGTTGCAATCTAAAACTAAAACAAAACACAATTACTCTGTTAGTTGAGCATAAATTTTAAGAAAGGTAAAAAATATTTCTCACCAGGTTTTGCTACACATTTAGTTTTGCATTTCCCTTTTCCTGTTGCTGATCCACACGTATCATTGACAGCTCGGCAGACGTCCACATATGCTGTTCACAAAAGCGGAAAAGGCGATAATGTGAAGAACAATTTAATTGGTATCGATATACTGTTTCTAGGATAATCATTCTATTTATCTAAATAAATAAACAAAACATATCTGACAATACCGTATTTTTAATTTCTTTGCACCCTTTATTGTGAGCATAAGCCTTATATTTATCAACACTTTTGCTAATATGTTTAATAAATGATATGCTAATATTCAATTAAGTAAACAATCAGGAATCAAGATTTGTAAACGATTTGAAATATTTTTCCTCTATGTTGTTTCAAGGTTTAACAATATTCATATCTCTGTAATTCCATCCATTGTTTTCATCCCATAATACATACCACCAGCTATTGCAACGTTCGAGGAATCTATTTCAAAGATAAGGAGAATAGTTTTCGTTATCATCTTAATGGGATATTCATTAAGTAACATTCAATACCTATATTTAAAACTTATGAACACGCCATTGGAGTATTGTACTAAGCCTGATACGACTATGATATGTTTCGTTAACGTCACATAATTAACGTTATGCAAGGTCGTATACATTGTTATACATTTGTTTCTGTTTTGAGGTTTCTGAAAATTTCAGATCTATTGCACTGATAAATGTTATAAAAATAGATAAGTACATATTAACTTACTTTCGCATGTCCATTTACAAGTACTAGTTGCAGCACAGGTAGGTTTGCAAACAGCCGTAACTAAAATACAGGCAGAATGAGGAGATTATTTGAATTGTTGTAATGGAATGTCTTCCTAACAACAAATGTAATTTACATCGTCGTTAAGCTTCAGGATAGAGAAATTAAATATCTGTAGTTTTTTTTCTTTAATCCATAATTGAACATCAAATTTCAAAAACATGATAGCCATCAAATACGGACAAATTACTTGTTTTAAAAGATATTTTCTGAAGAAAAATGAAATTCTTGTTGATAAAAACTACATCTCATCTCATAAGTAAACTGACTAGGAAAACTTCAAACGCATCTTTTACCTAAATAATACCAAATATCTACTTGGTGTCAGGTTTTATTTTTGTTTTATTTCCAAACGAAATTGTTTATTATTATCATCCCTTTTTCTTTGAAAAAAAAGAATTTAAATATCAAGATTTATGTATTTGCGTTTTTTTCTTATTTTAGAGTTGAAATGGAAGATGCTTTCATAACGATGAACATTTCATTCTTCATCTATACAGTTTAGCTCTGGATGTTCAGATATCTTAATCGAAAAATTTTAAAAGTGAAAACAAGAGCGTTGTTCAATTGATTGACAGATTTGCTAACTCTACGACGATGTTACGCCTTAATTGTCACCGGATACACGGTATTCGAGTTGCATTTGGAATGTTATCATTGCATCAGTCCGATCTATCATCTTACTTAGTTTTGCCGACCAACAAATGATAATAACATACACAAAACAATCAACAAAGACCATTTCTTACCAGCGGGAGCTATACATGCACTTTTGCATGCACCTCCTGTTCCACAAGTAGCATCAGCAGTTGTGCAGTTGGCGTTGGAGACTATTTAAATCGTTGCGATAAAACACGTAGAAAAATGCATTAGTATTAAAAACTAATTTTACACACACACACACACACACACACACACACACACACACACACACACACACACACACACACACACACACACACACACATATATAGTAGTTTAAATTAATGTTGCATGACAAAGAAAAATTACATTTTTCTGTGGCTTTTGAATAGCTTTGTTATTTCTGTTTTTGACATTTATTTAAATGTTTCTTTCATATGCAGTTTATTAACTTAGTTCAATATTCATGATTATGATAACAAAATAACATTAAACCAACAAAATGTTTAGGCATCCATATCCTTACATCAATTCTTAATAGCAGCTAACTTACCACTTGCAATCAAAATTCCACCTTCTGTTAGAACAAGAAAACAAGTTAGAGTAAACAGTTACCTTAATTGTTTCAGTAATGATAATATACTATCAAAATATGTCTCCCCACCCCCATAAAAAGCTATAAATAAAATAAAAGATGCGTATTATTTACTTGACGATATGATAATATCAAGGTAAAACTGTCTTGATTATTTAAATAGGATTATCGGTCAAGTTCAGAAAAAAATATTGGCCTGATCGATATAACCAAATACGTGTGAAAGTAGTATAGTACAGTTACAATAAACTTACTCTCGCATGTCCATTGGCATTTTTCTGTGGCTGTACAGTTTTTTTTCGGGGTACCAATATTAGTGCAGTTGGGCGAAACTGAAATGAGCGAATTATGATAATTCTGAATATTTATTGAATACAATGGTATATATGTATTACTATTACGTGTTAATACCGTTATTCGCATTAATGCATGCCAAACATCAACATTAATGACACATGGAACTGATCTCATTATGAAGAAATGCTTGGAGACTGATTTACCATATGTTTGACAACGTGCGACCTAAAAAGTCGAACGTTAGAGGAGGGTTTGGCTCTTGACGTTGCTCCAATTTATCTTAAACTTAATGCAGACAAAGGTAGAACGATGTAGTTCTGCTGCTGCAGATAATACCCCAACAACACGTCTTGTATAAGATCCTGCGTTGTCTTTCTACAAAATATGGTTACGATGGCTAAAACGGATAATTGGAAGAACGTGATGATATATCACTAGTCATTATAATGCTCTCTGCACCAATTAGCGATGTTGAATTACCCAAACGTCTCTGTAATGTTCTCCCGGTCGAGGATACAAAACCAGACGACCGTGATGCTATTAAGATGATAACATGACCCATTAGTAAATAACGATTCAGATCGATCAATGCTGGTGAATCGCAGATATCTCCTGCATCATGCTAAACGCGCAACGTTGAAGCGGAAACATATGGATAGCGTATTCCAGAATATGTGGTCTTGGAAATGACGTATACAATGCGAGTACCGATCTTGCATATTATCATATGTCAGTTATGGGTACAAAAACCACCATCAAAAGCATTATTACTCGGAAATATCATAACAGTATTTTAAAATCTTCGAATTTAGTAGTTAGTGAAAGTGGCATAATAAAGCTAGATATATTCTCTTTGATGGATACTACTTTTAATATTAAACGGAATTACTCATGCACACATTTATTTCAACACTCTACAGCCGTTTCTCACACAATTCTATACAGACAAGAAAACAGACAAGTCTGATGGTCAAATAAATTTGTATGAAGTCATGTTTGTCATCAGCCAAGTGGCACGTACTGAGGTCTCAATCTGTACTTTTTACGTTTATATTGTTCTTTATCCTCTCTATGCTTTTCTGAATACACAGGTTGGTAACAATTATGGGAAATGTTGATGCAATCATGACGTCATTGAGAAATATTCTGTAACTCTGCGTGATATGAATTTCGATGTGTTCGTTGCTTCTTATTCTGATTGACTGCAAATTTAGTTATCTATGCCGTACAAAAACCAGTTGTTTCAATCAGATTTTTAAGACATATAGCTAATTGCAATTGAAAAACAACCGACGAAAGCGCTGTTGATTTAATCGAGGTCTGTCGTACTTGATATTGGTGACTGACAGTTATAATAATGGACCCTGCGTTCATTAGGCTCTCTTGTGTTTAATTTTACACCTTTCCTGAGTATAGGTATCTAGCAAAAAGCTGGAAAAACGAGAGTAATACAGAAAAGACATACTACAAACTAGAATAACAATTTCGAGCAATAGCGGAAGTCATTCCGACCCCATCCCACTCTCTATCCCTAGTCGGCCTTCGTTGACTTTAGATCCGGGAAAAAGTAAAAGTAAGTTATGTAGATATGCAAAGTTTGTTGAAAATCAGCTGAGTAGTTTTGAGATTAGCCGATGAAACAAACGGCGGAAAAAAGTATAACTAGAATTTCAATTGCGAGAAATAACGAAAGTCATCCCAGCCCCCACAACCCGTCCCGAACACTATCTGGCCCACCTTAGATTATTTGATTGTCGAAATACACCTACATGCCAAATTTCATGGAAACAGGAAGATTTTTACATTTCGACAAATCAGAGGCCAGAAAATCGTAAGTAAATAAGTAAGAAACTGAACAATAAGAATATGTTTCTCCTACTTCCTTGTGATGCCTTAAGAAAAACTAGAACGGCTATTGCAAGCTAAAGTGAAATTTATCCCAACCCCGACCATCCGTACCAAACACTACCTGACCCCTTTTAAATTGTTTGTAGTGTCAAAATACATTTATATACCAATATAAAACATAATAAGATATATTAATTACTTGTAAACTGTAAGTAACCTGACTGTGCCATATCTATAATGGCAGTCTCACTGGTACTCTTGCTATATACTGTATGTTTATATTTGTACATTGTGCATGAGTATATCCCTTCAGTGGTTTCTAGATAAATGTCCCCCTCCCCACTCTATTTATGGTCACTCCCAGCCTGAAATCTCATCTTACCTTCAGTATTGGATTATAGGCTAATCACTTCTACTTACCTAGATCCATCTCTATTCCGGATATATTGTTTCGCTGATTAAGGTCTGTTCTATCTAATGTTTTTAGATACACAATTAATACTGGCTGTCATCAGTGCATCACCATTTAAACCTATTGAGATGACTATCAGGCCGTAGGTAGTGTGGTAAGTTTACAAATTTGCAACTATTTCTTGCAGAAGCTGGATAAACATTTTAAAGATACAATAACAGATATATACATGTACGTACCTGCTATTTGTGTTTCTGATGATAGTAAGCATGTATATATATATATATATATATATATATATTACAATACCTGAACAAGGCCAAACCCACTGAACCAACCCCCCCCCCCCCCCTTATGCATTATGTTCCTGATATATTGAAATAAAACAAAATCTTCCATCTGATTTATCAAACTTGGGTACAATAATTAAGTAGCTATTTCAAAATATAAACTGTTGACCAGAACACAAAAATATATCTCTGGATTTTTTTGTTCATGATTTAAAACAAATTGTTGAAACTTAGCACTACTTTTGATGACTTGTTATAGTATTACCATGATATAATACACTCATTTAATTCATTTTCATACAATGTAAACTCAGGATGACATTCACTCATCCCAGACTTTTTGTTCCTACTAAGGCTGAGGTTTTCCAAGTACAATTATTGCAAATTTGTAGCAATTTTATTGGTTTTTCATTTGAATGATGAAATGTACAACGAACGTCCGCCTACTGTGTATCCAGTGCAGTGGAGTATATTTACAAAATAATTAGCGATTTCAATGTAAATCAATCATGTTTAAATGCTAACTGGACTCGAGAACAAAATCTTTTTTTTAATTTCCACAGCTTATTCAAATTTCCAGTGTCGTTTTCATAGCTTGTGTCATAACAGGAGCATCACGTCTTTTCATATTGGCATTGTTATTGTGATTTTGTTTAGATGCACTGTATTTTTAGTTATAAAAGTCAAAACAAAAAATAATTACAGAAACTAAAGTCACTCAGGTAAAATTTTGTTGTTCTATTCCTTGTGTACTAATTATTGTACAATGGTTCCTTCCAGTTTGAAATTTTCATTTGTTTATATATATAACACTCTGTTAATGAAAGTAAAGAATTGTCACCCTTTGTTAATTTCTGAATTTTCATCTGCATTAAAAAGGGAGATAATTTAGGAGCTATTTCGATATGAAATTGTTA